ATGGAAGCATCTCAACTTGAGTAATTTTGTATTTGAAGAATCACACAAAACCTGGAGTGTAAGCTGTATCTTCTATCTACTTCTAGAGTGATAGCTATATCTATCTTGGAGGGTAGGAAGGCTCTGCAGAGGGATCTCGACAGGCCAGATCAATGGGCCAAGGCCAATGATATGACGTTCAATAAGGTGAAGTGCCGGGTCCTGCATGTGGGTCACAACAATCTCCATAGTGCTACAGGCTTGGGAAAGAGTGACTGGAAAGCTGCCTGGGGGTGCTGCTCAACAGCAGCTGAACATGAGCCAGCAGTGTGCCCAGGTGGCCAAGAAGGCCAATGGCATCCTGGCCTGTATCAGGAATAGTGGGGCCAGCAGGACCAGGGCAGTGATTGTCCCCCTGTACTTGACACTGGTGAGGCCACACCTTGAGTGTCCAGATCTGGGCTCCTCACTACAAGAAAGACATTGAAGTGCTGGAGTGAGTCCAGAGAAGGGCAACAAAGCTGCTGAAGGGTCTAAAAAGTAATTCCTATCAGGAGTGGATGAGGGAGCTGGGGTTGTTTAGCCTGGAGAAAAGGATGGTCAGGGGAGACCTTATCACTCTCTACAACCACCTGAAAGGAGGTTGTAGCCAGGTGGGGGTTGGTTTCTCCCAGGCAACAAGCAACAGTACAAGAGGACATGGTCTCAAGCTGTACCAGAAGAGGTTCAGGCTGGACATCAGGCAGAATTTCTTCATGGAAACAGTTGGTAAGAATTAGAATGGACTGCCCAGGGAGGTGGTGGAGCCACCATCCCTGGAAATGTTTAAGAAACGACTGGATGTAGAACTTAGTGCCATGGTCTAGTTGACAATGTGGTTTTCAGTCAAAGGTTGGACTCGATGATCTAGAAGGTCTTTTCCAACCTATATGATTCTATAATTCTCATATTCACTATTTAGTATGCATGAAGGAATTAAAGCATTCTGAATTGAACAAGGGAGATTATGCTGACAAAACCCTAATGACCACACAACTAATTTGCTGGGGATTATGCCAAACAAAAATAAGAGCCAATATCTGAGAAATCTGAGGTATATGAATGCGTGAGAAGGAGATACAGTTTTCTCTATGGGAAATGAATCATCTACTTTTTATAAGCTTCATGATACTCAGGCAGTGCAAATATTTATCTACTGCATTGGTAGCACAGTGGTGTAACAAGTCAGGCAACTATTTGCAAGTTGTTCCTACACATAAAAATCTATCATTAAGTTCCATTGCCAAACAACATGTTTAGAATTCTATTTTTAAAAAATCCCACTACTCAGAAAATATTAATTTGATTTCTAGGACACCTCTTCACAAAATGACTTAGAAACAGTCATTTCTAAATATCCTTCGGTTGATTTTTTTTTTTATTCCTGTATATGCGTGTTCACCCTTTAGGCACATCTTCAATGCTGAGGGCTCTTCCCAGAATCTTCCTCGCACAAAAGTATCACAAGAACGTTAGGTGACATTTTGATTCAAGTGAGCTAAACTATAAAAGGTAATAATATTGTGCCTTTAGCAAGAAAATTAAGACAGACAGATCTCCTGACTTCAAAATTTAGTTATTTTAAGCATACAGCAGCCAACCAGGATAACGTGTTTCCTGCATATATGTTTATATGCTTTATCAGAGTATCTTAATACTGTAGAAAACAATCTATCGACTATGCAACGTGAATAGCATCTTAAATCATGGATTCTTCATTGCAATTTCTCTGTGTAGAGCCACTGACTGACTGGCTACATAATTAACATTACCCAAAAGAAAGAAAAACTTTTATCTCACTAAAACTTGCTGTGTTTTATTTATTAAGATGCAGGTGACCACATGTTTCAGACTACTCCTTCTCACACATCGTTTTTTAGGCATGTTGTGACACTTCACTGTTAAAAATACCAGTTCTTAAAAATGGTAACTTACCTCAGAGGTCTGCCTCTGGGCCTCTCAGCAAAAGGCTAAAACTTCAATCAACAGGGGCACTAAAGTGTGAAGTGAAAGGAAAATAAAACTAAGAATTGTTATTCCCATATATCAATCAAAGTAAGAGGGTTGAATGCATAGAGTTTTAGGAACTATAGTTCTTCTTAAAATAAATAACCTGTCCAACAGCTTTATGTCTCCATGACAGCAGCACTGAAAAGATTACTTATGGGAAACTCAGTCTTTGTTTCAGAACCGTATATGTTAGACGTTTAAAAAGTCCAGCAAGAAAAGCCCTTTAAGATTTTAAAAACAAAGATCAGATTACAGTTTTTGTCCTATTCATTTCATGTGTTTTTTTCCAATAAGGTGACAGTGGTTTAGAGTAAGTAGATCAAAATCAGTGGCTCCCAATGCGGTTTATGCTCTAAGAAACCTAAGCTTTCTTATACTGCTAAAGGATGCTTAAGAAAAATCCATAAAAACAGTATCCTACAATGGTCCAGCACATCATTTATCTAGCTATAAACAATAACAACATCTTGAAACACACAATCACAAAATTACACTTTTTTATAGCCCAGATGTATTTCAAACCTTCCTATATGCAAACCAAGAGCTCTCCAGTCAGCTGTCTTCAATTCTGCATCACAGCAGCTACTTGCAGTCAGCGCTCCCTGTGCCTGGCAGGCATCATACATGCTCTGCATACCCATAGGCAGTGGCTCTGAACACAGGCACACAGCAATCATGCTAATTCCTGGCACGATCAGATGATTGCACATATGCTAATCACCTACCATGAGGACTCTGTAACAAGCCCTCTGGATACAAGAAGCATCAGAACCAAATTGCCATGACTAGTACTAATTCAGCTGTGCCTTGTATAAAGCACTGAGTGAACATGTGCACTCGATCCACCTACGGGGTGGAATGGATCTACAGGACAAAGTCTTCTTTCAACCACGGAAGAAAGTATTAAGGAAGTGATCCAAACCATTAAAGACTATTTCTTAAACAGAAGCTTGGATCCAGAACCCAGTCCCAAAATTCCTGTATTCAGAAATCCTTCAAACACTTAATAATGCCCTTTTTTAAATGCCTGAGCAACAGCATCTCAACTAAAGCAATATTAAAGATAAACCAAAGAAATCAAACAGAACTACATAATTGATGGAAAAGACCTTTAAAGTTATAAAACAATAAAGAGAACTGTAATTCCACTTCCTACTTGTTTGCACAAGCCACACCACAACTTCAAATGTGATATTATTAATCTTTGCCTAACTGATCTAAGAACAGAAGCAATTTTGTTGGGTTTAATAGAAACTAGTATCTATAAATACTAACATAATCATGTATTCTTTATGTTGCAATAGCATCCTGACTTTCACAGGAAAATAAACAGGAAGGGGAAAAAATGTATCTTTCTCCTTCACTTATTTCCTTTAGGAAACCATGGTAATGACAGCATCTGTTCCTAAATCAAATAAGGTAAAAAAAAAAAAATAAACTCCACCCAAGGTATCTGTGGAGTTGAGATTTTAGTTTTTGGTGTTGTTTGTACTAAAGAGCTACTGTGGCTTCCCTCTGCCTTCAATTCTGAAGAAATGTTAATGTCCTGGGCGTAACAGAAGGCAGTACAAACACTGCGATACCGCACTGCTACCTTGGAATTCTGGCAGATGACATTTAACAAAATTAGTTATTCAGCTTACCAGAAACAGATTTTCGTTTTCAACAGCTGAACTAAAATTAGTCCAAAAGTCATCTATAATTAATCTGTTATCTATTAATTTTGAGATATTTAACACAAACATACTTGTTGCAAAAATACTGCATTCTTTCTAGCACCATAACAGAAAAACAGAAAGACCCCTTTCTCTTTCTCCTCGCACATCTTTCTTGTTTACTTTTTCTTCTAATCCTTGTTGGTGTTCTGCATGCCCTTTGAAACATCTTACCTCTGTGATTATACATCTACAAAGTTAAAATTTAAAGCTTCAACTCAAAAAAAAAAAGAAATCTAGGATTAAGTTCGATTCTACTCCTACTAAACAAACTTTATGCACCACCACAGAAACAAAACTCCCAAGAAAACAAACGTATTGGAGGCAGGGCAATGCATATTACCTTCAGGATACTTAATGGACTCTGAAGAGAGGAGTACGAAAGCAAAAGTGGTTTCACACTTTCACTTTCCCCTAGTGGAAGAGCAAGTTATGACAACACGAACGTCATCTAAGGCTTGTCTTATATATATTATGCAATTGTAGTGAAGCAAGAAAACAATCACCCACTCAAACAGCAGCTCAGGAAGAACAGCATGTGGTTTTCAGGAACGATGCTGCATGTCAACAGACTCCTCTCTAAGAGGTGAGGGTGCTTTTCAGAGTGGCGCTTCTAGAGCCACAGAGATCGGCACCGCGGACTCAAACCTTCCGGCCTAGAGCTTCAGCTTCGCCGAGTTTCGCTACCTGCGGGACGGTGGGTCAGGGGCGATGCCCCGAGCCCCGCAGCAGCACCGGGCAACGCGCCCGTGTCTCGGCGCAGGGAGTAGAGCCGCACCTGGGGCACGTTCCACGAGAGAAAGCGGCCGCAGGCGCCTGCAGCCCTGCCCTGCCCCGCAGCCCCAGCCCCAGCGCCGCACGGCTCTCACTGGACAAGGCTGGTGGGCCGAGGGCGCAAACTCCGCTGCAAATGGGCCGGCACACAGCCAGGGGACATGGGCCGAACCGGGCCCCTCCTCACCTGCAGCGGCAGCACTTCCGCACCCCGAGCTCCGAGTCCCGAGCCCGCGGCGGCCACGCCCGCTCCAGCCGGACACGCCCGCCCCGGGGCGCAGGCGCAGAGGCCCCCGCCCTTCCCGGCCGCCCCGCGTCCCGGGCGGGCGGGTCGAGGCCCGGCGTGGCTCCTTCTCGGGGCAGCGCAATGCCCGGTGCTCGGCACAGCGGGCGGGCCGGCGGGCCGGGCGGCCCCTGCCCTTGTGTGCCCCCGCGCCCGGGCAGGGCCGCGGGGCGGAGCGGCTCCTCTGGAGGCGGGGGGCGGTGCTGGCGGCGGCGATGGCGACGCTCATGGCGGTGCTGGCGCGGCCCTTCCGTCGCGGTCCTGCCGGCCTGGGGCTGCGGCTCCGGCGGGAGGCGACGGGCGGCCCGTGGGGCCGGGGCCGGACGTGGAGCGAGGTAGCCGGGGTGCCCCTCGGGGCGGGGGGGGTGCGACCGCTCACGGGGGCTTCTTGGAACGGGCTGCCGTGAAGGCGGTGGAGTCACCGCCCCTGGGGGTGTTTAAGGAAAGACTGGACGCAGCACTTCGTGCCATGGTCCAGTTGACATGGTGGTGTTCGGTGATGGGTTGGACTCGATGTTCTCAGAGGTCTTTGCCAACCTGATCGATCCTATGATTCTCACGGGCTGTGCCGCCGCTCGCCCCCGCGGGGCCGCTCCGCCGCGGGCGGGGAGGCGGGAGGAGGCGGCAGTGGGGAGGCTCCGGCACCGCGGGGCGTAGCGAAGGGCTGGTTTGGTTTTGCAAAAGCTAGGAGCCCTCTGCTCGTTTGAAGAACACTAGTGCGCTTTTTTTGCTTCTTCTCTTGTGTTTGCTCCGTATCTACGGTTTATTTTCAGTCTAGCACTGTGGTCGTTTTAAAGTGTAATTATGAGCTTCTGTTGAATATACTTAAAATACCCTCTTGATGAACTGTTTTGTCTTATGAAGGTTTTCTTAACATTTAAAAGTCTTTTCTTTGCTCAAAATCTGAAATATAACCGGTGCTACAGGCAAAAAAAAAAAAAAATTAAACTCAAAGTGATAATGTTAATATCTATCTTATGATCCCACACAGGTGCTTAGAAAAAGCCTTCAAAGGGGGCTTGTGCTTTCAACAGGGTCCTTCTTGGCTTATGAAGCTCATAAGCTGATTTTTGGCTTTGCTGAGGTTCATGCAAGCTTCAAAGGTAATATTTTCAAATTTTGAAGTATAGATATATACTATAGATATAGATATATATCTATCCTATGGAAAGATAGATATTCTGATGTGAAAGTTAAAATTTTTAGTGCAAGAATTATAGAGGAAAATGGTGTAATGCTTTTTGATTTTCTCCATTAAGACTGCATGCAATGTGATTTAATGGCAGGACGCTTTTGAGTCGTTTATGGGTAGCCTTGTAGCAGTTTAACAAGTGATTCTTTCAGCTGTCACTGAAAGCAGATCTAGTAGCTCATCCTGACAGGGATAGAACACGTGCACAAGGTGTATGATACCTAACTTGCTGCCCAAGGTTTAAATAAATCATACTGAAAAGTTATAGTTTGGTTAGGAACACAGACCAAAGCTTAATTGATTTATAGAAATTTTAGCTTGTTTAGATTTTCAGTATGAAAAAAGTGTGATTCCCATTTAATCTAGTTGAGCAATACTGAGATTGCACCTCAGAGAAAGTTGAGAAATGTCTTGTATTTTTGTGATACTTCAAAACCCTGCTTTCCCTACCAGAAAACAATATATCAAGTGAGAAAATATCCTTTTCAAATTTGAATAAGGATAGTTTCACTGCTGGAAGAACAGTAACAATATCTTAAAAGAGAATATTGTTGCAGACTTAGAACTTGTCTATCACATGGTAAATTAAGGATTTTGAGAGTAAGCCTAGCTGAATAGAGAATGAGCCTGACTGGCTGTATGTATACGGTGTTGATGCTTATAGAAATAAAAATTCAGACAATTAATTTTTGAGCAAATAAGGAACTGTTTCATTTTCTATAACAGAAGAAGTGTCAGTGAATAGATTTGAGATAGCTACTTGGTACACAAATAAAAAATAGTAATAACAAGGAATAAGGAATTCCTCATTTCTCATGAGGAACATAAATAACACTGTAGTCACCTCTGGTCTTTTCAGTGCTCCCTCCTGAATCTGGCATTTACATTGCCAAGAAAAGCAATGGTAATGGACTTTCTTTGCAAAACAAGTAATAGATAAGGTGAAAATAAGGGTAAAATAGAAATACCTGAAAAATACTCCAAAGCAATAAAAGTACAATAATTTGCATAAAAACACCTCATGTGAAATGTGTTCAGAGTTTTGAGCATTTAGTCATTAGATATGTTAGTAGTGTTCAGGTCAACAAGCAAACATAACAGTCTACTGAAGATGTACCATGAAGCTCATTTTAAACACTAAGATCTAAAGTCCAGGTAGACTATTAGCTTATCTTTGAAAGATAAGATATTTAGAGACAGCAAGGTTAAAAATTATCCAGATTTATAGTCTAGGATCTTTTTAAGCTGAAGAGCAGGCTTTTGTGTTTAATAACCTTTAATGTTTTCCTTCTTCCGTTAAGGAAAACTCTGCTGCCGTTAAACGTGTCTACCATATTTACTAGGTAACGTCAAAAAGGAAAGCTTATAAACACAATTTTTATGAAGGAGGTTAGAGCTTATGTTTTGTTAAGCATCCAAGCTGTCTTGCTGAAAGCTGTTCTAGTTGCATTAGAGAGGCACTGATTCTCATCCTAGTTGAGCATTGTACATGTTGCTTATTCAATCCTGCTGTACCTGTAAGTTGTTAGGAATGATGGCCTAAAAAAGAGCTATATCATTTTTAGCTAGTTTGTCTTGCTCTAAAATATTTTGTTTATGCTATAATGTGCTAAATACCTGTAATTTGTTCTTCTGTTTCCCCAATTTTAATTTCTTCTTAAGTGGAAGAAGTGATAGAACAAGCAGACTACCTGTATGGGAGTGGAGAAACTGAAAAGCTGTATCGGTTGCTGGTTCAGCATAAAAATAGGTACTTCATTGCATTGAGACATTACTGTGACTTCTTTTCGGTGCTCTTCTGTATCAGTTTTTCAACGAATATTCTCACTGTGGTATGCTGGAGAACCTTGCTTTCACCCTTATATAAGTAGGAAAGGATTAGTAATATTTTCCCTTCTACTGGAAAAATGAATAAAGAAAGAACTGCTAGCTGTAGAAGATGAGAGTTAACCCTTAAGTTTTGCAGTCCTGTGAAGGAGAGGTTTTTGCTTGTTTGCTTTGTTACTCAAATTTTAAATAATTTTAAAATTGCTGCAAAAACTCATAATGTATCTATGCATTAGTAAAGGATCAAGGTACCTAGAATTCAGGTGTTGAAAATTTTCGAGTCAGTTTTATTTCTTTTTCACTGCTGACCAGCTATTCTTTCTGTTTTCATTTGTCTAATGTTAGGATTTGAGTCTGAACAAAACATGCCCTTACTCATGTAGTTATGTCTTATGTGCACAAAACATTAAGTGAACTGGGGTAAGGTGTTTAAAGAAAAAGCAGAAAAGGGATTGCAAACTTAAGAGTCCATTCATTTGGAGGAGACAAAACATCTCGCTCAAAAAACATTTTGGTCCTTTCAGTAGTTTGCAAATCCTTTTTTTTTTTTTTTCCTTATTTCTTTTTCCCCACCTTGTTCTTGCCAGGGGTGCAAGTGTTAAACCTGTGAAGTTAAATGAAGTCCCCAGCCTGTAAGGGACAGCATATCATAAGCGAGGTGTAAGCTTTTTACTAGGTATATAACAACACTAATTATTCTCTGAGGAGTAATGATTCCAGTAGCAGTACTTAAGATTTTTGTGACTTAGCTGAAAAATGAGCCTTCTAGTTCTGTGTTACTCTGTTGAATAGAGCAGGACTGCTGTGCTGCAAGAGCAGTGACTCGCTGTTACTCCAGATAAAAATAGAAAACTGATACTCTGAGTTTAGCAATAATTCTTATATGCTCTTAAATACTTTTAGTTTCTGGTAGTTTTGACTTCAGTGTTCCGGGGCTGGAGGTTTATAGCCACACAGACAAGACCTCTGAAAGACTCTAAATTTAAGTCTCTATTAAAATGGAAAGCCAAAATTAAAATGGTTGTGCTCTAAAAGTGCAAGCAGTGTTTCATAACAATGTGAACAAAATCAAATTTTAGATCCTTTATCATTGGCTATAACCTACCATATACCATTTGATAAAGTGATATAAATAAATACGTAAACATAAAGCTTTTTGTGCTGGTGGTGTGGCTAATCTGTGTTTTTTCACTGTTGTTCTAGGAAGAATTTAATTATTTAAGTATAATTATAGGGAAAAGATTGATAATGTTTTAAATATTCCAAGTAAACATCAATACAAATCAGTGGAATGCTGGAAAAAATACCATCTAGCTAAGAACAGAGTAGTCCTCTTTTCCTTCCGGTGTGCTGAATGGTACCATTATTTTTTTTTTATCTTTTCTTTTTTTTTTTTTTTTTTGAGAAAACAAAGACCTTTCCTACAGATCTATTTGCTTTGCAGACCAGAATGGCAGAACAGAGGTATTGTCAGACAGTCTGTAATGGTGGGCTTTCATTTCCTGTTTGTTATCTTGGGGTAGTATATAGCATAGCAGGACAGATGATACACTGTTGTCTTATCACCCACTTGAGATACATTTTGAAAGACCGGTTTAAGATCTTTGCTGGCTTTGTTTCCATTATTGCTTTAAAATGTTAGTGTTTCTCTTCCTAACTAGTGATGATGCGGAGTTGTTGTGGCGGCTGGCACGTGCATCACGAGATCTAGCTCAGCTTAGTAGTACTTCTGCAGAGGAGAAGAAACAACTGACGTATGACTCCTTTGAGTATGCAAAAAAGGCTCTTGAAAAAAATGAATCAAATTCTGCAGCGCACAAGGTGAGCCATGCAAAATAACTGAAATCTTGTTTGTTGACTTCTGCTAGTAGAAACTGGAAATGGCATTGTGCTATGTTAGCAAACTTCAGCATAATTTAACTTTTCAGCTGAGAATGAATGAGACTTCTGATTCTCCGTAACTTTTTTGGAAGATCTGAGTTCAGACTTCTCCAGCTAAATTTCCTCTATACAGAAAACAGAAACTGGCTAAATGTATGCAGGACCATGGAAAGAGGTGTGACTGATGAGGTTTATTACAGCAGATGTAATCAGCTCCTCCTCCTCTGATGTAGCCTTAAAAATGTTGTACATGTCCCACATTTAGCTTGCTATTTCTGTATTCTGTAGGGTTTCACTGGAAATACTTCAGGCCCTGACTTCATTCTGCTTTTTTTTTTGGTGCTGCTTCTCTCACGGGCAAGTATTGTCACTTGTGTTGACATCAAAGATCAGAAGAGGACATTTATTCCCTTACACATGCAGACCAGTAGGTCACACTGATGCTGCCTCAGCTGTTCACAACAAATACTTCTTGCTTGTTTGTCATTTGTGGTGGTGGCAGCCCTTCTGGTTGCAGGTTTTTAAAAATGTACTATCAATAGCTATAGTGCTGTATTAAATGTTTTATTTTTGTTATTTGAATTACAGTGGTATGGAATTTGCCTCAGTGATGTTGGAGACTATGAAGGAATCAAGACTAAAATTGGAAATGCTATTGTTATCAAGGAGCATTTCCAGGTAATGCAAACAGTTTTTTGCATATGACAGCATTAATGTGTCCAGTGTATAGATTGTGTGACAACTGGTAACTAATTTTTGGCAAAATACTGAAAGTGTACTTCTGTTTATATCTCTAGTGACACTTTGTTTTTTGGGTTCTTGTGACATATGCCCCAGAAATGCTGGGGAAGCAAGGAGTACAAATTATTTCCTGCAATAAACTAAATCCCTTTAGAAGGGAGTCTTCAAATAGCTAAAGTGCTTTAGACACCTCTTAGGACTAGATAAAATGTAACAGTGGTATTGAGAAATGGCTGTCCTTTGTGGATTATGTAGTGGTAAAGGACAAATACTGGAAAACATAAGGGACTACTAATTTTATATCACCAGAGATTATATCAAAATCTGAACACACCAAGTCTCATATGCAACTTTTAATGACCTACTAAACAGAAGTGCTTAGAAATCTGTCAGTGTTGTCAGTTTTTTGGAGGTGAGCTGATGTAGTTATGTACTGAATAAATAATATATTGCCTTGAAATTCTACACATGATGACTCTGGTTTAATTAACAGCAGGATAACAAGTCTACTTTTTAAATGTATTTTAATCCACGTGTCAGAACAACTTCTTATATCTTGTGTTGTTTTTTTCTCCCCTCAACAGAGAGCCATTGAACTAAATCCAAAAGATGCTACAACAATTCATCTTATAGGGATTTGGTAAGGCATATTTTCAAACAAAATCTAGCATATGGCAAAAAAAATGCCAGAATATAAAATATCTTACATGAATTGCAGAACTGCTTGTAATAATTTAGTGACTTGTAATTGATGCAAACATGAAAACCTATTTAACAGGTATGGAACTTCATGCCTTGAAAAAGTCTAGCTGTTAAGCAGTTCAAAAAGATGAAAAATAATTGTTCATTTAATTTATTTGTATGGAACTATTAAAAACTCGCTTTGCAGACATTAAGTTTGCTTCATAGAATCCATAGCAGGCATCAGCAATTCTGAGTGCTGCTCATTTTGGTTTACTGGTGTGAATGGAGTCAACACTGAATTTCTATTGAATTTCAGTGATGACTGCAACTTAATACAGTCTGTGAAAAACTACCAAAGTGAGATGTGTTCCTAAAATACTTCTCTTGTTATCTGTCATGATACGGTATTTTCAAAGTTATACTAATAAATGGATTTATAAATTCATATATATTAACAAAAAATCTTTGAAATTTAATGTACTGCTCAGTGAAACTGGTACTAAAAATTACTGTTACATAGCAGGCAAAGGGACTGGAAATACAGCTTTCCATACAGACCAGGGCATTCTGTGGAAGTGGTGTGATGGAAAGCAGGTTTTTTTATGTGTTGGTGAGAGACTCCAGACAGCGCTTTTGGTTATTTGTTTCAAAAAGACCAAAGCTGTTACACTGTTTTACAGGAAATCTCTGCTGTGAGATTGAAAATAAAGAAAACCAATATATTTGCGGTTTAAAAAAAATACTAAAAACCACACTTACTTTCTGTATGGATTTTTTGGACTCTTTAGGATCAGAGAAAACTACAATCTGCTGCTCCAGAGTTTTTTATTAGTTTACAAACTTATTTGGTTTTTCAGCATCCACCACTCATTCCCATATGATGTAACAATTGCAATAGTCCAAATACCTAAACAAAAGCATATGCTACCAACTGACTGAGCCTCAAGGTCCATTTTGAGATAGGAAGCTTGTTCTGGAAAGTACTTAAGACATTGTTCCTAAGGAAAATTAGAAAACATGATAAGAAATGTGAGATTATTGCTGCTTTTGGCTCTAAAATATTCCCATGTTGTATGTTTAAATATACTCAATACTGAATCCCAGAGCATCTTCTTCTGAAACTGGCATTTGGTATCAGCCAATTCTTGAATATTTATTAATTTTTCACCTCCTCTAGAGTGCTCTATTTTACATAGTGTAATTGTAAACTCATTGTGGGAGGCTGCTAAACTGAATGTTTAAGCGTTGTTTAATGTTTACACCTGGAATGTTCTGTGGACTTGAAATGCTTCACAAATGTTTTCACCAATAAATAGGTGACTGATGGATTACCTGTGTTATTTAGTAGATAGGAAAACAGTGTAGCATGACCTAGCCTAGAACACAGTGGTTTGATTCTTGGATTTATTTTCATTCTTATAGATCAGAGTCTTTCAGGAATGTACTGCAGATCTGCTTTATATTAATAATTGAAAAAAGCAAAGTAGTGTTGAGGTAAGGCAATGACATTACTCAGTTGTGCCATTTTTACAAATATATTAGAACAAAATACACACATTAAAATCATTAAAACTCAAAAGCTGTCTCATGCTTAGTAAATGTCTCCAGTTCTACCTAACGTAATTAGTTCCCAGTAAAAGACACATCAAAACTTCTTCAGTATCAGTTTCGGACATCCTGCACAGATGTAAGAACATGATTTTAGAACTTGCAGTGTGTCTGGAGTTTTGACTCTTGAAAACAACACTTATGACATCCAGTTTTTATGTTCAACAACAATTATGAGAATATTTCTCAAAAACAAGAGAAATATGGGAAAGGTAGATGTAAATGGTTTTTTGCTTCAGGTGTTACTCCTTTGCTGAAATGCCATGGTACCAAAGAAAAATTGCTGCAACGCTGTTTGCCACACCGCCAACTTCCACGTTTCAAGAGGTACAGTATGAAAATGTTTCATAGATTATTATTTTCCCTACAAAGCTGTTGATATACTTTTACTTATTTTCCTGTGAAAGCTGACCTCTGCTTATGGAATAAGCATGGACTTGGGAGTTTACAACTATCAATAATAAAATAAGAACAGAACAGGAGGGTGAGGGATAACTAAAAACTTAAAAACCTTTTAATTTTTTTCAGCTGTAGCACACACAGAATAGTGAAAATTATTCCATGTAGATTATGCAGCAGAAAACAGCAAGCTATATGTAACTTAGTTTGTATTTACTGTTGTGATCTGTTGCAGATAACTGTCTGTACTAGTGAAGTGCTTATGATTTATATGGTGCTGTTTTACCATGTATTTATTTGATAGGACTATTAGAATTTGTCCCTTTAAATGCTAAAAAGCAACAGGTTGCTTTGTTACTTAACATGAGCAAATACCCTCTCATTCCTTGGCCACAAAGGGTGGGGTTTTTTAAGTTGAAAATAATGTTTTTACTCTTTGCTATGATAATTCCTGCTGTCATACGCTCTAAAACATACTGTCCAGATATTTATCTTCTAGGGTGTCTAAAACAGCGTGCATCTTATTTAAACACCTGTACATATATAGAAACTTGAAAATTAAATTGGTAATAGGAAAGTTTGCTGCAGCTGTTACAATCTCTGTTTACATCAACTAATAACTGTTTTGTTCTTTTATGGTGGGGGGGCAGGAGTCACTAGGAAGTAATCGTAGAAGACTGCTTGCTGTTACACAGAAAGCAATTTAAGGTCTGATTGAGAAAGAAATAAAACTTTTTAATGGAATGTCAAGCTTGTAAGTTGTGCTGAAAATCACTCTCAGAAGAATACAAAGCATCAACTAGGATTTCAAATACTGCAAAATCATGCCAGTCCCAGCATCAAGTTCTGTAGCACTTAAAGTGGCTGAAGAAGCAAACTTGTACTGGAAGGATTTCTGCAGTTTCAGTACAAAATATGTTTTGTATATACATCCATACTTTTAAGTTCTCTGAGAGTGTTTTCCCCCCAACTAGTACCATTAGGAAGAGGTAGGGTTGGACTGAAATTTCATATGTGCAGGATGGGAAACTGATTGAAAAATATGTGGATTTCAGAAATGTTTATCCTCATGTAAGAGGGTGCCAAATAGTGCTCTGTGGGAGTCAGTTCTCTCTCTGAAGCGTTTGTTAACATTAATGTCCTAAATAATAAGATTCATTTCATCAGTTAAATTTATACATAAGAAGCGTATGGGGAAAACTGCAGAGATGCTGGATGGTACAAATAAAATGCAAAATTATCTTGACAAGTTGAACTGGAAATACACAATCTGGTTTGCTGGGGACAAACAGGTGGTACTGTACTTAATGGAAGAAGTGGTAGGGGAATATTTTGGATAAGTACTAGTTCTGCTGAAATAATGTCAAATCTGATTGTACATTGAATGAGAAGCATCATAGCATGTTGAATTAATAAAAATAAGATCACGGACAGGAAGTCTTTATTCAGCTATTTTAAGCATGCACGTCAGGCTTTAGTTTGACTATTGTGTTTGGTTTATTCTTCATTTTAAGGAAGACAACTTTGTCTTTTACAGGCTCTACGTTACTTTCACATGGCAGAGGAAGGTAATACTTCAAGCTTGTTTTGACTGAAAAGTATCTTTTGTGAATGATGACTTGCAGTAAACCTCTAGTTTTTGGTATCACCTTAATAGCTGTAGCCATTAATAGCCAGGTAAACCAAACAGTATGGTATGATCAGCTGATAAATGTATCAGCCTGGTGCACCAGTCAGCACACTGGACTGTTAGGTTGGCACATTTCTTCAGAGATACTCAAAGTATATTACACACTTTCTATCATCACTTACAATGTAATGTGAAGATTTTTTCAGAATAAGTATTAAAGTAAAATTTGTACCTTCCTGAGTAACAAAGTACTCTTCCCCAAGGAATTCAACTGGAGTGCAGGAGAAAGAAGAAATCAAATAAAGAGAATTTTATAAAGTTATTTTTCTCAAAATTTAGTTCTCTGTATTCTAAATAGAACAACAGAAAAAGCACACTTTTTATTATTTCAGAAGTGATTAGGATCAGAGTGCCAATCTAACTGGCAGTAAAACTGTCCACATGATGTAGAAGAAAATATGAACCTACTATTTCTCCAAGAGTGAAGTCGTAAGCAAAACTGACTAGCTGAAAGATAAAGGAAGACAAGGAAAGACAGGGTTTTATGAAAGACTTGTACATAGTTAAACCAGTGAAGTTTAAAGGAAAAGCTAATTGTGTGTCTTCCCCTGGGTGTCGCGTAAGGCAGCTGTGAGCTGGAACACTGAACTTCATCTCAAAATTTGCCTTTAAAACACCTCCGTATGTTTTGAATCCTGATCTTAGATCCAGCAGCAGAAAAAGCCTGCAATTATAAGTATGGACTGTAGGCAAGATTAGCCTTTAATAATGATTGATAGCCAAGCTTGCTTAGTAAAAACCTTTAAATCTCTACTTAAAAAATGTTGAATGTGGGTACAAATAATTTTAAGTTTTCTTCTGTGCAACGAAAGCTACACTGGTATCTTTATGTGCTAGGAAATGTGCCCTTTTTTCCCTTGCCTATACTTGCTCAGCTGGTTGCATTGCCTGTTGTACCTGCTAGGTCCAAAAAAGCCCAAAATCTGCAAAACAAAGCTGTTATGCATTAAGCTCATTGCTTTGCTCTTTGTGAGGAATCTAGTTTCATTTAGTATATTAACTAACAAGCTTCTAGTTAATATACTTGTATATAAGACCAAAATCTAGTAAGTGAAAGTTTTACATTGGCTTCCTTCTGATCCAAAGCCAAAAGACTATATGTGTTTTCTGAAATAAGTATCAAAGGGCTTTGATAATATGCTACTCATTCTCATGTAAAGCTTTTCTCCTGTCTATGCAGCCGATCCAAATTTCTACAGCAAAAATTTGCTCTTTTTGGGGAAGACGTACTTGAAGTTAAACAATAAAAAGATGGCTCTTCTCTGGTTAAGCAAAGCAAAGGAGTATCCTGCACAGACAGAAGAGGACAAACAGGTAGGAAATTAAGAACTGTAATAGCACAATCATGTATTGTAACCAACATGTGACATCATGGCATTGAAATGTTTTATAAAGTTAACTCAGATGAAATTGTAGTTTAGCACCTATTATTCAGAATCACATCAGCACCAAAAAATTCCAGTATGTAGCTTATCACCCCTGAACATAGTGGTTGGAAATATTCTGTTTATTTATTGTAGAGAACTGTTACCTTTCCTTCTCCATGATGTTTTTGTAGTGCTAACAACAACCCAGCCTTAGCTGTGTTGCTTAAGTTCAGGCAGGCACCTGAGCTAGCCTCTGTCTCTGTGAGCAAATTGACCTTTCATATGCCTAAAACTGGAAAGGTAGGAATCACATTTTGGAAGAGCTAAAAATCACATGAACATGAGGAAGGAAAAAAATCCCACATATATGTAAAAAACTTAATACTGCAATCCATTCCAAGCCCTTAGAGAGAGATTCAGATGGTCTGAATTGACACAGATGGAGGTAACTAATCTTTGACAGCAAACCTCCAATGCAAGGTGACATCAGGCACTTTATTACCCTTTGGAACTGCTCAGAAGGATCCTGGTTTGGATGGGTAGGCATCTACTTCCTACCTAAACATATACAGAGTACTAACTCATTGCTAATTGTTTTTTCTTATAGTTGCCTAACAAATTAGAGGCCAATCACTAAGCTACAGTGTGAGATGCTTTAACTGTTACAGAAATCATCCATATGGGTTGTGACATTCTAATATCCTAATTGTTAGAAATACTTTGGTAGGATTTTGCATTTCACGCATCTGAAAAAACACTACTGAGGTAGTGTTACAAAATCCCTCTGTAGATTTGCTGGTAAGGCTCAAACTGTTTCTTCCAAAAGTGAGCTCCTTTAACACCTTTCAGTAAAAATACGAGTATTATGTTCTTCCACTGCCTTGTATTTCATAGCCTAAGTAGTAGTGGTCTCAGGTGTGTATGAAATTAGTCAATTCTTTTGACAGTTACTAGTAGCTAGAGGCACATGTGAAACCAGTGATCCCAAAAGCTTGCCTTAAGAACCACAGAAAAGCAATAGTCAGGAGTGAATTCTGTGCAGTAGCTTAGTTGTTAAACCATTTATCTGCTGGAGCCAGTCACGGCCTCCTGGTACAAACATCCATTTCCTGATCTCCTAGAGGGGTGCAGAGCTGCTGAACTGAGAGAGGCGGTATTCTCTCCGTTCTCTGGGTGAATGTGTAAAGTGCAAAATTCATTGGGAGCTAGACTTGGTAGTCCAGTATGAAGGAAAGTGGCCTGTGCAAAGAAATTTGAATTCTTGTCTCAGCATAACTAGGGTTTCTGAACATTTGTTACTACGGATACTCAGAGGTATCTGGCTTATGTTGTCTGCACTGCTTGCTCTGTCAGGAGAAGTTTGTTGAGTTGGAGGGTCTTTTTGTGGTTTGGGGGGCAGGGGGTGGTGGTGCTGGGATTTTTGGGTTTTGGAGGGGTTTAATATAAATGTTAGAGGTCATAATGAAATCATACTAGATTTTACCCAGAACCTCTAGGCAAAGGGAACCTCAGAAACTGTCTTCTCACACTCTCTTACCTGCTGTCCAGAATCTTGAAAACTCTGGGTTGGTTGGTTACGGTCAGAGGTAGGACAACTTCCTACATGCTACTATTGGACTACAGCAAATAAAGAGCTAATCATCTGTATCCAACACAAATAAACTTACTATATATAGAATGAATTACACTGAAGACACTGGCTTAAGTGGTTTTATTTCTATTCATGTTTCAAGTATTGAGCACCTTGAACTACAGATGAGAAATGACTAGTCGTAGGAGGATTCTGAATATACAGAACTGTGGTGAAGCGTTTGGGTGCTTGTGTGGCAAATTCTGGTAGAAGAGCCTGTAACTACCTGGCACTCTTTTGTTACCATTTATTTCTTTCAGGTACAAAAAGAAGCTTTGGAGCTGCTTAATTCTATATAAGAAGAAACAAGACAATGGGAATTCAGTGCCTCAGGTTTGAGCAGCATAGGAAAAAGGCCCCAAATACTACTTTGGTTTATTGAAGCTGTTAATAAAAGTACAGCCCAGACCTTCTATCTCCATATCATTTCAATTACGCTGTCAACTAGAAGATGTTTCATTATGTAATCGTCTCTGCTGATTTGTATGGGAATGAAGGGCTTTATGGACAACCAAGGAATATATATAGGATATATTAGAGGGAAAAGGCTGGGAGAGGAGTTGCACAGGTTTTTAATTAAGTTTTTTACACTCTTAAACTACAAGTTGTATATGAGGAATAATAAGAAACATGATTAGCATAAGTTTAAAAAAAGAGGGACAAGGCCATAACAATTTTAATTCTGCAATTTTTTCTAGAGCATTTTGCTGTGGGGTTCAGTGGTCTTCAAGAGTAATAGATGTTCACATTATTACCTGCTCTTACAGATTTCTCTTTAAGCCTGCACCATCTTAATTCCAGTACTCTTAAATGCTAGTGTTTGTCTTTGCAAAAAGTGCTGTGGTAAAACAAAAAACAAAGGAACAAAAAACCAAACAAAAAAAACCCCCACAAGTAGGGAACATCAAAGAAAATTTATGGGTGATATCAGCAGTGATCTGTGAAATATGATTACTTACTTTTCTATTTAAAGGCTGTGAATTCTGATGATTTTGTGGCTATAAATGTTTGCTGGGTACACTCAATTTCCCCTAGACTGTGACAACAGGAGGAATACACATTCCCAATACATTAGAAAGGAACTGCTATGTGGAAGCGTATGGACTTCGGTTTATAAAGATAAAATTTTCTACTTGGTCTTGCGACCATTTTAGCAGGAATTTTCACCAGAAATATAAAGTAACCTAAGTTACATAACCAGCATAGAAAACATTTACAGACTTTCCAGACAGTATATTCTGATTACCCAAGAGAAAAAGAGGACCAAATAATGAAAAGATAGTAGGCAATCAATTCCATGTGGTATTGTCAGTAGAACAATCTAGATCAAATTGACTATAAATACCTAATGTTTGCTTTACTAGAAAATCTATAGGAGGAATATGAAGAACAGCATTGTTGCTAAGACTAACAAACCAAGCCTGGTCTAAGTCAGTAGTAAAAATTAACAGCTGAGAGAGAATCTGAGGCTTTAATTCTAGCTTCACGTTATGAAACTAGTTAAAACAGGGGGTTTGTCCACTAAAGTAATTAAGTAATTTAAATTAATTTTTATTTTTCTAGTAGTATTTTCTATTACTATTTTCTATTATAAATATTTCTAATATTTTCTATTAGTAGAGCATCAAAATGAAGTGTGGCAGTGTCTCAGGGTGGATGATATGGTGTGTAGGAGAATTTTCTGCATTCATGCACTACAAAAACATTTGCCATACACAGATTTGCCTCCAGTAGCTTTGTGGCACAGGCACCTTACTTAGGTGCCTTTTCTGCTGCTGCACAAAGAGGAAGGATATCCAGGTACTGAGTAACAACTGTTCAGTGTGTAGTGAAAAGCAGCTGAGTTGCAGGAAGAAAGGAACCAACAAAACACATGAACTACGCAGTAGCTCCTTCAAGTAGTGTTACCTCAATGGTTCCCTTGTCTGAGCTCCAGCCTTTGCTGTCTTCCCTTTCTTCAGTCTTACTCACTTCCCCAAGTAGAGGTGAATTATGGGGAATTCAAATGGGAAAAGAAAATATTACAATGTAGTATTACTGAAATTCCCTGAAAGTTTAAATTACCTGTACACATGAGTATATTAATTGTTGTGCTTTTTTTCCTCCAGAGCCATGCTTTCAGTGCTTGGCACCAATTCACAGATCATATACGTGTACAGAAGGCTACTGGGTTTGTTTTTTTCTTGCTTACTAACCCTTACCCACAGGAAAAACTACTGCAGTTATGAGACAGCTAAAGTTACCAAAACAATAAAGCAACTACATTCTTGTGATGTGCTGTCTTTATTATTATTATTTTGTTCAGTTACTCAGAGATTCACAAAATTCAGCAGTTGGTAGAGGGCCATTAAGTCATTCATAGTGCAGATTCATAAAGTTTAACTGTGACATTTAGCTTTCCTCATTGTCTTCTAAGCAAGTCACACACCCTTCTGGTCTTAGACTTTTTTTTTAAACTTCCTCTATTCTAACAAGTGTAAGTAATAATTAAAGTGGACTTGCACTTGAAATTGATGTAGTGCTACATGAAAGTGGTTTCGTAGAAGATATTTGGTGTTGTATGAAAAACCCTCAAGGTGGTTGAAATTCTTGAAGCTCTTACAGAAAAGTTCATGTAAATAGGCAGTCTGTTGGGCACATTGCACTACCAGTATGACCAGAGCTATGCACAGATTAACAGCTCCACTTTAAGATGTGCATATTGAATACAAAGCCTCGAGACAATCCAATATGTAGAAAAATAAAATTTTGGCAGAATTCAGTTGCTGTATTGGAAAGATACATGAACAGATACAGCTATTTTTTCACATGTACACTTTTAACAGTGCAATATGATATGTTACACAAGTGTGTTTAATCATATTCTAAAATCATTTTCATGTGTGTACAAAATTCTGTATAATTTAAATGTAATGGAATTTACAGTTAATATTTAAAGCATAATACAAATGGTGATTTCAAACATGTTTTTACTCTATGATAAGGAAGCACGGTTTGCTAAAAGTAGCATTTAATATAAATCACATGAATAAGGTGTTAAATTTTAATATTTTTTGCAGTTCAGCAAATGCCCTCAATGCCAATAAAACTAATTTTAAAATGCTTTTATGTTACTGTGCATTTAGGACAATCTCGACCTACCTAAAAGAATGACAGGTTTTAGACATACTTAATTCAAGTACGTCTAAATTTCTGTAAGAACTTTGGAGGAATGAGATAATTTAATACTAAATAATATTTTTATCTGTGCAAAGCTTAAGTAACTTTCCTTTCATTTGGGTTTACTAGATCCAGTAACTGAAACTGAACATGAACACAAAAAGCAGCAAAATTCACATTACCTTTTGTATACCTTTTGTATACCCTTATAGCTCAGTTTACATTAATATAACTCTACAAAGTTACAAAAAGGACATCATGGATTGAAAAGGGAAACCAAAACAGGAAAATAAAAAGAAAAAAGAAACCTGCAAGACACCAGACCAGGAAGAGAATGGGTAATATTTTCTCTTTTATTATTATTTTTTCTTTGAAGATTACCTAACATCCTCATGGTAATAACCCAAGGTACTATGTAAACAAATTTCAATGCTGCTCAAATGAATTAAAATACTCTGTTCAGCTCCTCCAATAAGTCAGAACAGCGGCACCAACTCCTTTCAACATTAAATCACATTCATCTTATTGTACATGACTCTTGTGCAAGTAGTAAAGGCTTTATTCATGACCTTGGCTACATCAGTAGAGAGGGATATATCAGCTATTTAGGTATTAAAAAAATTAAACTGACAGAAGAACAGATTCTGTCATCTCAAATACCAGCAGCATCTTTCTATATATTTAGGATACGTTTGGCCTAAGCCTTTAACACCTTTTAGAATAGCCATGCAATAAAACAAACTTGGAGATGTTTCTTAAGAGAACACAGAGCAATTTAAACATTTTTCTGAATGATAAAGCCAAGATAAAGCAAATCCAGGCCCTTTTAAATGGCTGCAACTTTTCATACACTTAAAGCTCTATAAAACTAGAGCCCATTAGTATATATATTTATATTTTTTATATATATATTTTAAATAAGTCTCTTGTCTGCTTTCAAAATTTATGGAGGGGTTTTTCTGGTCTTTTGGGAGGGCAATAAATAAAAGTAGAAAAGGCTGAACTGTTTTGCATATACTTGTGGAAGAACGGAGAACAATTAAACTTTCAGAGTTCCAGAAAGATCACTGTACAGAACAAAAAGCTTATATACAATTAAGTGTGCAATTTTAGTTGGCTGGGCCTTTTATTATGCAAGATATCCATTTCGACTAGAAGCTGCTTCTACTCTTGACCAAATCCCTCTGTTTCTTCAATGGCAAAAAGCAACTTCTCTTTTAGTTGTTCATAGCTTTTATATGGTGGCAAATCCAAACGATTAAAACTGAGCAGAAAAAACACAAAATTTTGTTAACTTTATCTAAATCCCATGCAGAAGTCTACAGAACTTGACTGCTATAGTAGAAGTTACAAATGTTCTGATTTAACAATTAGAAACAAAGAAATAACAATCAGCATAGTCTCACTGCCTTGCCATTTCTACAAGCGGTAAAACCAGACAAAGTTTGAGACAAATACCTAAAGAAATAAAAGACTGTTACCAGATAAAAAACAGAACCTTTGAAGACTGAAGACAGCCCAAGATGCAGAGAACTATAATACTTAGCAAAAAATATAAACATAATACTTAGAAAAAAACCTATAATACTTAGAAAATGAAAAGGAAATTTTCAGCATGAAGTTTAATATAATCCTAATTTGATGCATCTCCAAATTTTAACAACAGTATGAACAAGCTGAACTTGGCTCCCTCCTACACATGCCTGGATATAGGTTTTTCCCCCTAAACTTTGCCCTAAAAGGCTTCTGCCAAAACTGTTTCATTCCATGTCTTCCTCCAAATTACCAGAGATGTTTAACTCTTGCAAACATCACTTTAAAAAAATCTAGTAGAGAAAATGTAAAATGGAGAATACCCTAAAGTAGTTTAAAAGTATGACAAATATTATTGTCACAAGTTGCCAAAGGAAAGTGTGTCCATTTTGCACACAGGATATATGAGAAACTGATCTGTGTACCTGTTGGCACCAGTTTGGGACAGGAATGCCAAGCCAGTATTGGCCCATCTGAAGCCTAGGTGGGAAAAAGTATCAGCATTCTTGGCTAAGCATCCTTGTTTCGAATATTTGCTGTGATTTCTTTCACGCTACTTCTTCTCATGACTATACATTTTATCTTTTATACTGTTACTGCATAATAACTGTATCTAAAAACTGAATGTGCCTAATACTAACATGACTTGTTTAGGTATTTAATATTCTCTAAAATAAAGAATTAGGGAAACATCTCTTAGTCCTATGCGTGAAGGATATTCTCATACTTTTGATAGATACTGACAAACTGTGTTCAGCCCAGTAGCTAAATTTAAGAATAGGGCAACTAGAAAAGTTTTCAATACTTGCATGTCAGGGCAATGAAATGAAGCTGAAGATGGAGACAGAGAACTGATTCAAATTAGATTTCATTTGGCTTGGTCAGTGCAAGATCAGAAGACAGAACCACTAAGGGCACAGGAAGTTTACATGTAAAAACTCACCAAGTGTGACTTCTTGGTAACCAGGTTTCCTTACCAACTTTTTCAATGCAGAATTTCTGAGGACCATTACTTCCTAGAAAAGAAGATTTTAAAAGTGTAATCTGTTCCTTTTAAGTAGCACACTTGATATATACACGACATAAGACACAACTCAGATACACCACACAGAGCTCATTAGGTGCTACTCA